CTCTCAGGTTCCCATCGGCTGGTATACCGCCTGGAAAACAAGTACCTTCTTTTCTTGGGTTTTAAACCTGCCTCCCCATTGGTTTATTAAGTACCTGTATTTCGCTATTTTTTGTCATGCACGTGCAATTCATCATGGTCCTGCCTAAAAATCTTCCAGTTCTTAGGCTTCTTTCATATCTCCTTTTGTTGTTTGTGTTCCAAGGTGAAGTGCAGCATGTCGCAGTTTCTGATTTCACTATGTGCCTATTGTCATCCTTCTTGCCCTTTTCTTCAGGCTTTTCCTACATGCCTTTTTCTGAGAACACATCTGTATGCAAGATGCAGGCTGCAGTAGATTTATGGTGCTTTGTAACTTTCCCTAGCTTGTCTTGTGTATTTTTCCTCGGAATTCCTGTTTGGTTTTCTGATCACCACAGCAAGTGCAGAGCTGAGATACTGAGAACTAAGTGTGGACCGGTCTTGGGCAGGAACTTGTCCTTCCACCTTCTGACATGTGCCACCCCCTCAGATACACATTTGGAGTGAAGCCTTCCAGGTTCTAGCCTTTGGGGTCTAAAGAGGGGAGCAGGAGAAAGAGCCAGCCACCACACAGTAGAGCCGTATTGTGAAGGGGAGAGCCCAGCATGTTGGAAGTGGACTTCAGATGAAGGTTTGCAGTCTGGTGTGTTGCTTGAAGACCAAATTGACAGCATGGAGACTAAATGAACTTGGATACCAAAACGCTGCAATCATAGATAGATGTCTGTTTTGTGAATTACGTGACTTCCCTGTTTGATGGGAGGGAGGTCACAGTTCAGGATGAAAGTCAAGCTGGTCAGTGTAGTGTTTCCTTACACCACCTCCTTGTTCTCCAAGAGAGGGTACCTGATCCAGGGGAAAAGCTGTAGTGGTTCTCGCTGTGCTTTGTGTCATCCTGGTGCAGGACCGGGGAGTCCTCTGGGATCTCTCGCTTACTCTTGAAGTCTTTCCTTAAGTCACTTCAGTTACAGAATTGGGTAGAGGATCCCCAGAGGATCTCTGTTGGCTATTCGGCTTCACTCAGGCACTTAGCAGACAGCTTTCCCTGTCATTGGCACTTGCGATAGGTTTCTCTGGAAGGTTCTCTGCAGTTCACAACTTTCATAGTGATAAATAGGCTGTTTACGCTCCTAGTACTCGTCTGTTCTTATGACTGAGCTTTTCCCTTACGCTACAGGGCTGACTGAAGTTCATACGCTTACGCTGTTGCCAACCACCCCCTGCCAGCTGCCGCTGCTGGGTTGACAATCCCACCTGCCTTCAGCAAAGCCCTGAGCTGATATTTTCGGTGATCTACACTGATGCCAAAATATCTTTCCAAACTGACAGTAGTCAATTTTAAAGTTCATTTTTGTTACAGATACTTATTTTTTCCTCTTTGTATTTATTGACATTGAATTCTTGTATCTGAGGAGCTTGAATAATTCTGTATTGTTGCACGTTTTTTTACCTCACTGTTTACCCATTTTGCTAGATTATTACAGATGTGTTGAGCCCAGCACAGAACCCTAATTTATTCCCTCTCTTTTGGTTCCTGGAACAACCAGGATGTCTGATGTTTTGCTGAAGCTGAATGGGTGGGGAAAAGGAGTTGGGAGAAAGCAGTGTCAGGTAAGTGCTCAGGCAAGGTGCACGTTGTGAGTTCAGGCCTGGTCCCTGTCAGAGAATTCCAGCCTGTAACAGGTTTTTCTCATGTGATAACTTTTTACTTAACCTCTTTTTTTTGGGGGGGGGGGGGGGAAGAGTGACTTTTACCGTGCTTCCTGCTATACCCTTTTTTTATGCTTGTCACTCTTACCCTCTGCAGAGCTGTAGGGAAGACTTGCTTGCTGATCAGTTACACCACGAATGCCTTTCCTGGAGAATATATACCCACCGTGTGAGTAATGGCCTTGGGCTTCAGTTGCTTTTTGCTCTACATGCGTCTGTAAAAGTTGGTTTTGTAGATGAGGAGAAGGATGCCCCAAATCAGACTGTGAACCTCACACACGAGGATGATGTGGGTGGGACAGCTGTGTGTGAGGAGGGCTGACTATCCCCTCTAGAGCTGTGTTGCAGTGTCCTCTCCTGGTTCACTGCCCCCCTTAGATTTTGTTATAGAGAGATGTGTGGGTCACAACGAGATTGTCGTTGATGGGGACTCTTCCTTGGCAGGTTTGATAACTATTCTGCCAATGTCATGGTAGATGGAAAGCCAGTGAACCTAGGCCTCTGGGATACAGCAGGGCAAGAGGACTATGACCGACTGCGGCCTCTTTCCTACCCACAGACGGTGAGTGCTGGACTTGGACTGGCTTCTAACTGCTCCCTCTTGGGGACAGGGAGGCTCCCAGGGACAGCCAGGCTTCTTTCCTTTGAGGAAGGCCCAAGTTCCTGCATCTGTAACCCTAATTCTGGTCGTTTAAGTAGTGTCACAGCTGAATTCCTCCTAAGAGATGGTCCTGTTGTAGTCCCTGCTTCGTAATGGTGGTTGCACAGTTATGCGTGCCGTGGGGAGGCTCAAGCGAAAGGAGTGATGTGGGGCTGCTGTGCAGCTGAGCCACGTTCCATATTCCCGCTCTCTCTCAGCGGCACAGCTCACCGTTGGGCGGCACTGGTAGCGTTTCCCTGGCTGTAGCAATTCCTACATGGCCCCCCTACCAGGGGTGAAGACCATAGCCCCGTTAAAGGTATATGTGGCCGCAGGCTCTTAACATGCAGAGCCCAATATTGTAAAAGAAGATGAAGTCATATACTCAAAGTCCATTCCTTCCCTCTCTGAAATAGTTTAGCACCCTCAATGGAGAAGAGTTTCTTACAGCCACAGTCCTTGCTTGAGGGAGGAGGTTGTCCTCTATAGGGCTCCCTCTCCGTCCTCCCTCCATTATCTGTAGCTGTTTCTTTCTACATGGCTGACCCTCTTGTTTCCGCACAGGATGTTTTCTTGATCTGCTTCTCCCTTGTGAGTCCAGCCTCCTTTGAGAATGTCAGAGCCAAGGTAAAGTATTCTCCTTCTGGGTGAAATAGTGGAAGGGAGGAACCAGTGAAGTCCCCTGCCCCACCCAGCACCACACCTACAAGCCCAAAGTTTGTAGCAGTCATGTTTTGATAATAGAAGGTCATAGTCTGCAGGTTTTAAGAGGGGCCCACTCTTTATTCATTACTTCTTTGGTGAAGTTTTTGCCTTTTTGAATCTGTGTCTCTAAAGATAAGGGATGTCCTAGAAGCTAAAATGCAGTTAAGGGCAGCACTGTGTGCAGAGTTGGCTGGCACTGTCTGTCACAATTCCATGTCTCAATGCCCTCGTTATTACATCTGCACCAATCTCTTTCTGCAGAGCATACTCAGAACTGTAGGCACAAGTAGCCTGGTTGCGTGTTGTCACCATGTCAGATAGTAGTAAAAGCCTTATTCCTAATAGTAAATACATCCTTGTGGTTGCTTCTACTGCAACAGCGACTTTCCTTATTGTGCTTCTCTGTTTCAGTGGTACCCTGAGGTCCGACACCATTGCCCAAATACACCTATCATCCTGGTGGGCACCAAGCTGGACTTGAGGGATGATAAGGACACCATTGAAAGGTTACGTGACAAGAAACTGGCCCCCATCACCTACCCCCAAGGTCTGGCCATGGCTCGGGAGATTGGTGAGTCTAATGTGCTGGCAGATCTCCATGGCATTGAGCTTTTATTTTGGAGTGGGTGAGGGACAGTATGTCCTGGTAGGACTGGAGTGGTTGAGCTGGAGCTCTCTTTCCCCTAGGGTCGGTAAAGTACCTTGAGTGCTCCGCTCTGACGCAGCGGGGCTTGAAGACGGTGTTTGATGAAGCCATCCGGGCTGTGCTCTGCCCACCGCCCGTGAAGAAGCCTGGCAAAAAGTGTACCGTGTTTTGAGGGCTGTGGCCTAGGTGCTGGCTCAGCATGTTGTCCTCTGACAGATTGCATATTAGCTGGGTGTTTCTGGAGGGGGCTGGGACGTGTAGGGCCCTTCATCATGTACGAAGTCAGTGTTTTTTAAATGTCTCTTTGATTTAACGTCAGTGTTGATGTGAAGGGGCAGTGGGGGCAGGAGACTAGCTGGGGGCTGTATGGCCCCCAGGGGAGGTACAATGGGGAAGGCAAGATAGCCCCTTGGGGCAACAGGCTGTTTCGGCTCTCCTGAACTCCAAGCTGAAAGGGCCGAGACATCCATCCTGTCCTGGAGACACCTGGTTTCAACCTGCAGGTGAAATGGCTGGTGAAGATCTTTGTGGGAGTGGGGAGGGAGCGGATATGAATGGTGCTGAAGGACAAGAGCAGCTGGGAGAGCGGCCAAGTCTCCTTGCCCAGCCTCCTGCGGCCAATAGTTAACAAATCGGTGCTCTAGCTGATACGTGCCTGAGACTGTTAAAGAAATCATAACCAGCCCCAGAAGGGGGCGAAGTAAATGAGAAGCTGAAGAACTAATCATCAGGTGCTTTATTGGGTACTAGCCAAACTCAGTGATTAAACAGCTCTGTGCAGTGGATGTATTTGCCTTTTCATGTGTGCACACCCTAGGACAATGTGGTGCTGCTCCCCCCCATCAGTCTTTAGCAGGGCCCCCCCCCCCCCCAAATCCAGTCTCTGCAGAGCAGGGCTGTGGTTGTTGCCTCTGTTTTGTTCTTTTTTTCTACTAAAGACAGCAAAGGAAGCAATGAGGAGTCTGCTAACTTCTTCTTTCCCTTCCCACTGAAAGTGCAGGTGGGCTCTATGGATTCAGATGGAACAGGGAGAGCTTCTGAAGGGTTGGGGCGGGGGATAGGGTTGGAAGAAAGACAGGTCCAATTTCTAATCATCATGTAGAGTGACAAGATAAAACCTTATTTGGTGCAATAAACATTCTCCATGACGGCGTATGTGAGCTTTATTGTATAGTAGCCCTCTAAAGGTAACTTTCTGCCTCACATCTCATGCAGATTACAGCCCTGCTGCCCCTCTTCTCCAGCAAGACTGGGTCCGTGTCCTTGTTTTCTATCCAGTTTACATCTATGCAGTACTAGTATGAAAATTAAGGCCAGGTGTGAAAGGCAGGCGTCATCTTAGGAGACAAGAAATCCCCCATCGACCATCAGTGAG